TCGAGGGTTGGCGAACAGCTGGTGGACCCAATCCACCCACAGGCCATTTGTTGTATGGCCAGTGAGCTAAGAAGGGCTTTTACATGTTTCAAGTGTTGTAAAATAAAAGAGTAGACTATGCATCAGAGACAACATATGGCTTCCAGAGTCTACAATATTTACTATGTGGCTCTTGACAGAAAAAGTTTGCCAACCTCTGATCCAGAAAAGAAGAATCTGGGGAGGGAGAATAAATAACTTTATTCAAGACTCATTTCACTTACTTACTCACTCTTATTTTTTGTCATAAGCACCAGTGATGTGCAAAGGACCATGCTCAGTGCTGTGGGAGCACAGAGTAAGAGAAGATTCCTTCCTGCGGTGTGGTGTGGGTGTTGTCCCAACTTAAATAAATCTCTGTCCTCAAGGAGTTTATAATCTAGTGGGACCAGACAGATCCAGTGAGGATCGTCAGGAAGAAATATCAGATTCATTCTGTGGTAGTTCCAAGAATGGAATTAGATTAGAAGTTACTGAGGATTGGAGCACCTGGGTGGCTCAGCTGGTTAAGAGTCTGCCTTTGGCTCAGGTCATGATCCTGGAGTCCCAGAATCAGCCCCACTTCGGGCTCCCTGCTCAGCGGGGAGCCTGCTTCTCCCTCTCCCTCTGCTCCTCCCCCTGCTTGTGCTCTCTCTCTCAAATAAATAAATAAAATCTTAAAAAAAAAGAAGTTACTGAAGATTAACTGATTCTAATTAAGAATAGAATTTAAAGTTAATGATTAGAAGATACAAGAAAGCTAACTTCATTGTAATACCAAAAAAAGCGCTGAAAATAACATGTTTTTGTTTTGTTTTGTTTTTTAAAGGAATGAACTACTCTGGGAAGTGGTGAGCCACCCGTCTTTTCTGGGAGCACTCAGGAAGCGTCCTTGTTACGCGTCTTGCTGAGATTGGGCATCTTGGACTAGCACAAAGAACTGGCTTGTTGGCCTTCTGATGGTTCCTCTGAACCTAAGCTGTGATGTGAGCATAAACCAAGTGTCTGTGGTCCGAGGCTACCAGTGGACTGGGACTCCTCTTTAATATGCAAATAGCTGGTCTTGGCCCCCATCCACATACGCTGGAACCCCAGGCTCCTGAGCTTCCTCTGGGGGCTCAATGTTTCTCCCAGTCCCCTCTTCCTTCATTCTCCTCATTGCCACTGACCCCTTTTCTGCAGCTCTGTGCCTCCCTGTCCTCAGGCTGCTGCCTTTCTCCTTCTGATTCACCGGGGGCCAGCCAAGCACCCAGTCCTTTCTTCCAGAGCACACCAATACCAGGCGAGTGTGTGTTTATCAAAGGTTTGAGAGCATGGCACCAGATCACAGCCCAGCCCAGAAGAGACACCGGCATAAGCTTGAACTACTTAGACATCACTGTGCTAAGCACCCCTGCCACACCATGAAGAGTTTCTTCTCGCCGGGTCTTTTCCACCCTCAGGCACCACTGTTTCTATGCTGCTCCAGGCACCCCTCCTTTCTCTCTCCTCCTTCTGGCCTCTGGATTCCCATAGCCTGCATCTCTTGGGCCCATCAAATATAAAGTTCCACTTTATCTTTATCATGCTCAGCAATTCAACCTCTGGATTCCCACAGCCTGCATCTCTTGGGCCCATCAAATATAAAGTTCCACTTTATCTTTATCATGCTCAGCAATTCAACCTCCTGTCTGCCCCTGCACATCCAAGGCCTGGTTTTTTTCACCCAGAGATTCTTCAAGGCATTTTCTTTAACAATGCAACTGGCCACCTAGAGATGCCGCTCCACTACAAGCTATCAGTTGTGGGTTCTTGGAGTCTTTTCCCCCAAATCAGGAAGAAGCAGACTTCCCAATTAAGCCAAAAGGTCTTTTCCTTTACATCCAAAGGGAAGTGATTGATCCAGGGATGGGGGCGGGGCAGAGAACAGGTGCTACGCAGTACACCTCAGTCCCTCCCTATTCGTGTGCACCTTGCTCCCCCAGGATGCATGCATCTTTCTCCTTAGCAAAGTCAGCAGCTGTCGGAACAAAACATCATAGATAATGTGTTTTTATTTCTTAGCTGAGGAGGGAAGAGAATGTTCTCATTAGAGAAGTCAAAATCCAGAAAAATAGGAAATTCTGCCCTGGCAACTCCAAGCGTTTTCTCTTGGAGGGTGGTGTTTTTGTTCTTTTTCCACACCTTCACATTTTCAGTTCTCCACACTCGGGGCCGTTTAGTGAGATCAGGCAAAGTCACCGAGAGAGGGAAGCCGGGCGCCCTCGGGGAGCTGAGCAACCCTCCCACTCCGAAGGTGAGCCCAGGCCCTCCTGCCCGGCCTCTAAAGGAAATCGGGCAGTGAGGCCATGTGAAGTGAGATTTGTTCCTCCTTTTTCTATTTGTTTTTGTACGACTCTGCGCCCGAGTTTATCTGCTGCAGTTTGGTGCTCCTTGCCCTGAGCTTTTGGAGACGAAGACTCAGAGAAGGAAAGAGGTGAGGACAAGGGAGCAAGGAGGCCCAGGAGGTGGAGCCAAAGGGATAAGAACAAAGATGCCCAGGCCTGTTTCCTCAGTCAAACAGGAATGCTGCGGAAGAAGACTTTCATTTGCAAAGGTGCTGCCAGCTGGACCGACCCTGCAAAGGGGACCACTGGGGGCCACTGAGTTAGTCAGAGGTCCCCAAGCCTGCTCCTCCTCAGTCGCCATGTGGCAGAGATTCAAAGGGTGGAGTCCTCTCTCCTCTGGAAAATATCTGATAAAATTCTTTTCCCTTTTCTTTTTTCCCCCCTTGCATGTAGCCCCAGACAGGATATGGGTGTGGGGTCAGCATGCACGAAGGACCCAAAGGAAGAAGAGGAATGTGAAGGGGCGGGACGGGGGTGGGGGGTGTCCTTATGGTGAGAAGAAAGATAGGCCATGGAGGTCTTGGAGGGAACAGATAGCCCGAGCCTGACAAATGGGGTTTCCTAATAACCTGAAAGTCTTCTCCTCCTAGTTGGTGGCATGGCAGGCCTCCCTGGTGGCCTCTCAGCTCCCACTCTGACTCTGGTCACCACCCAGAGCAGCCCCATCTGAAGCAAGAAGAGTCTACTTTTGGTTCGCTGCTGTGCCCATCCTTATGCCAACTTCTCACGGGGACAGAAAGAACTTCCCAGAGCAAAGCTCTCTGTCGGTGTACATGACACGAAAACCAGCGAACCCCCGGTGCCCTACATTTTGCAGTAATAGCACGGAATTCCTGCAATGTCCCTACGTTAGCATTTCAAGATACGGTCACTCACTTATTTATCCCACGATGTATACCAGGACAGAAAATGACTCCTAGCATTAAAAAAATAAACAAACCCTAGAAAGTTCTCAGGGAAGACGTAAAGCTCCAGATTGGCCCAAGTAGTCCATGCCGCAGCTGTCACCCCCAAAGCTGAAACAGTGGAATTCTCAGCCTATCTGGCCCAGATTTTGCAGGAGGTCAGTTGCTCCCCCCACCTCCTGCTACAGGCCAAGGCGAGACTGAAGCTGGCCAGCTGAGGAAATAAAAAAGGGTGGGCCTCACTCGGCCCGGGACCAGGTCATCACAAGCTGTGTAGCCAAAGGAGAGTGGAACATCTGATCAGCTGTTCATCAACTCCCCCCTGTTAGGAGGGTGTCGTCTAGCACCCAGGGGAGTTCCCCGGTCTAGCGCTTCGACAGCTCAGTAACAGCTTTTTCCCTGCCCCAGAGGACAGATCCATGGCTGCCAAACTGGTCAAACCAGAGCCTTACTTAGAGCTTTCTCAAGCCGGAAGTCTCTCTCCAACTGGGTGGGCACAGAGGGGGACAGCAGAGGACAATGAGAGCAAAGGGGCCTAACTGGCAGGCCCAGGTCACTCCGTGGGGCCATGGTGGGTGGCCTCTCGGATGGAGTAAGAATAGGGAGTTGGGTGCCCTAGAGGGCTGGAAGCAGAATCTTGAGCAAAAGGGAGAACAACGGACAATGTTTAAAATCTTCTAAATGCAAGGAGATGAGATGGAGAATGCTATCCCCAAATGAAAGCAATTAAGAATAAATATTTATTGAGCGCCTATTATTTCTTCACCAAAGTGACAGCAAGATCTTAAGGAGTAGGGGCAAGTGTGTGTGACTGGAAGAGCGTCCACTAGCCTGCTAAGCTATTCACTAGTTTCAGAACTTGGAGGGGGAAAGGGGAGAAAGCCCCCAAATGTAACAAGTCTCAGTTAGTGCCAGGGTGGGGGGTTGCGATGGGGAGAGGGAGGTAGGGCGCAGAACAAACCCCATCTACCGCCACCTTCTCTCCCACGGACTGGGTGTGGGTGTGGGAAGAGGGAGCTGTAATTTAGCTTTCCGATCTTAAGTGCAAGGATCTTTTCTAAAACGGACCTGTTCTTCATTCCACACTCCCCTGGTCACCTAACTCAGCTGGATTCCTGGGCCTCCTGGGCGTCGGAGCCTGGGCCCCGTCCCAGGTTGGCCTCGCTCACGTTCCTTAAAGGTCCAATTCGGGCTTGCCCTGTCCCGGTGGTCGGGCGGGCGCCTGCGCTCTCTTCCCAGCAGCCGCTCAGGCCGGGGCTTTGGGCATCAACCCCCAGGCGCAAAACTTTCCTGCTTCCCTCCTCCCCTCTCCTGGCTCTGGCTCCGATTTTGTGCTCCGCACCTCTGGCCACGCGAACAGACTGGCATCTTCGAAGCCCTTTACTTTAGAGACAACTCCAACGAGTCGCACGCTCTGACTCCGGGAAGCCCGGGGCGCGCCGCCCGGTTGACACCTGGGCTGCCTGACCCTGGCGGCGGGGTGGCCCGCCCTGCCCTTCCCGACCGCCCCGCCGCTTCCCAGGTGACTGCGCCGGTCTTGGCGGGGCGCGGTTCAAAGGGCCCGGGTCCCGCCCGAGCCCGGAGCAGCCGTGGGCGTGGGGCGTGGGTGGGGGGCCGGGGTCCCTTCCCTCCGCGCCCCCGGGCTCTGCGCGCTCGGCCGCGGGAGAGCAGGGACCCTCCCCGCCCGCCCGGGCGCGCGGCCGGTACTCACGCAGCAGACTGAGCAGGCAGAGCGCGGTCCAGCCCCGCGGCATCCCGCGCCCCGCGCGCGCGCCCCTGCCGACCAGCATCCTTCCCGCGCGGCTCCGGAGAGATGCTCTCAGCCCGAGACGCGCTCGGCCCGCGGGACGCGCTGCCCCCGCCCTCCGCCCGGGAGCGGGGTGGGCGAGCGGGCTTTTTCCCCTCCCCTCCCTCTTTATTCTTGGCAAGGCCGGCCCCTCTCCTTGGCCGCCACTACCGTGAGCTTCCCCGCTCAGTCCCACAGGCGGAGGACATTAACAGGGGCCGGGGTTGCCGCCGTGGAGGCCAAAAAAGGTGGAGGTTTGTGCGGGCTCCAGACGACTCCTTCAACTTTATATAGAGGCCCCGTCTTACTCCTTCAAGCTCGACTTCCACTTAACTTTTAACCCCTTTGTGTCAGCCTGGCCGGTGGCAGGGGCAAGTTTCCTCGGAGTTCTCTCTCTGTGTGTTCTTTCCTTTTTGTTTTTCTTTATTTTTAACTTTAAGCCAAGAACAATCTTGCCCAAGGACTCTAGGACCCGAGTTTACAAGTGTGAGCATTTTGCTAATCAGGTGAAACTCAGCACATGCCCCATCTGATGCATTTCATGACAGTCACACCAGAGACTGTGCTGCATGGTAATGAAGCATAAAAAGTGAGCAGGACACATAAATGACTAATTATTCATTTTACCCGTTGGAACCATCCTTGTCGATTTTCTTTTCACTTTTTTCCCCTGCAGGATCTGTCTATTTGTGTTAATTTGGAGGGGATTTTCTTGTGACTGTCCCTAATTTTCCACATAGTTTGAGCCCATCACCATCATCACAAAGACAAAAGACTCTCCGGGCACCTAGGCGGCCCTTTCTCCAGGCACCCCCTCTCCAGCTCTGGATCTGTGAGTCTACAGGCTTTATCTTGCTCTCTCATCAGGAAAAGGACTGCCCCTGACTCCACCCTCTACTACCTGACTGATCCTGGAGCTCCCTATTCCTCACTAGTTAGTTGTTCTAGAGGTTGATAAAGGGAACTGCAGAAACTCTGAGCTGGGCGGTCAGCCTAGTCACAGATTGGTTCAGATGGGGGAGGTAGAGGCTGGAGGAGAGAGGGGCGGGCAGGAGCAGATGATGGCACCAGGGAGGGGATAAGATAAGGCCCAGTCCGAGGCCCTCAGTGGAATCACAGGGTTACAAATACCCAGTGTACTGTCTTCCATGATGTGGGCGACACACAGCCCAAATGGGGAGGAAGGTCAGACCAGCTCCCTCTGATCTTTCCTGATTTACTTGTCTGCAGACTCCCTAGCATCATGAAAATAGACTTATCTCTATGGTCCTTCTCTGACCTACTGTTACTTGGTTTGTACAGAAGTGGGCCCAGGTCTAAAAACACAATCCGAAGCTCTCTATTCTGATCTTGTTGGCTAACTTTCCTTTAAATAGGAAACAATGCCTTTCATCACACAATAAAACCAAAGGCTTAAGATGGCAAATTTGATAGAACACAACGGTGTGGAATGAATCTGTTTCAAAGTGTAAATGGTGATGTGGATCTGACCACGTTGTGATCTCAAAGGCTTGCAGCTGGGGACAGAAAAGGCTGAAAAATACATTCTAAACATCAGGCGTTTGTCCTTGGGACTCCCAATTAATAGAGAAGAGAGGGGAGCTCCTCTCCCACCCCTTTTCTTAGCTCCCCCTCAACTTTGTCTGCTCCAGGGGCTTGGGCTGCTTCACCGCCAGTGAGAGGTCATGAACAAAATGTGGGGTTCCAATCCTTGCTAGGTAGGAAAACTAATTTGGCTCACATGGCTCATCCTTCATTCTTTGTCTTTTCTTCTGGTTACTTCAAATGCCATTTGTCTGCCCTAGCTGGACCACAAGAGGCAGGAAAGAGCTTGTCTGAATTTCTTAGCTAGCTTTGGTGCCGAGCTTCTCAAAATGTGGTCTACACAGAATCAAGGTTAGAGTCCGGGACTCTGCACTTTTCATAGGCAGTGTCCGTGATTCTTATGCACACTAAGTTCAAGAAGCCCTAGTTTAGAAAGAAGACACGCTGGGTGCAAAGTGGAGGGCAGACTTCAGGGAGGAAAATTAGGAGTGGAGGGATGGGGAGCCGGTACATCTCCTCTTCTGAGAAACCAGAGCTGTTCTTCTCTGGTCTGCACCACACCTGTGCCACTAGGTGTTAACTGGCTACCCTTCCTATTTTCCAGAGTCATTGAGACTCACCACTTCAAGCACACACAAGCTTGCCCCCACCACCCACAAACTCAGGTTCAGTCTGGCCACTGAAGATGAGTCCATCCTGGGGCCCCCGCCTTATGTTTCCTCACAGTCAGATGGAGGTGAGCTCTCAAGTCTCTTCAAAGCTCCAGCCTTTCTTAGCTGCCCCTTGGTGTCTCTGCCCCCCCGCCCCCAGTTCATCACATAAGCTGGTGCTAGAAAGGGTGGTAACTGCACGGCACATAGTGGAGGGTGCAACAGAAAGATCCAGAGTGAGAAGCCCTGTCAGGCCCTTTATAGATCTTCTAGGTTATGACCATCTTTACTATGGAACATCGCCCCACCTCAGCTCTAACACACACACATCATATCGATCAATTTAAAACAGACCTTCATCCCATGTTAAATATAACTTCTTTGATGTAAAAAAAGAAAGGGAAATGATTTAAAAATTTTTTGAGTTTTGAAGTGTATTCTTCATTTGGTTCTTGTAATTCAAACTTTATTATGTTTATATAAAACTGTTAGAATTGAATTGTGGTTTACAAGTTGGCTAAGTTTACCTTTTATAGACAGTAAATACAACTTTTGTTCATTTTGATTTTCCAATTTCATATTTTAGAACCAACACCATTTTCCCACGTTGCAAACTTGTTTTGGCTCTTTGAAAACTCTCAGGGTTCAGATCCCAGTCGAGCAGGGAGGGAGCCTTGGCGACAGAGGTGTTTGGATGCCACAGGGAGGCCATGAGTCCTTGAAGTCAGAAGTCAGTTCCTTCTTTCCTCTTCCTGCCTCCCAATCTCTGTCCAGTGCCTTCTCTTGACAGAACCTAACTGGAAACCCACTGGAAAAGGGGTCTGGGAAATATGGAATGTGGATTCCAAGCCCCAGTGTCTGGTAGGAAATGAGCTCCATGTAGCGGTAGCCTCTAGATATGCCATAGGCAAGCTATAGAGGCCACAGAGCAAGAAGGCCCAGGCCAAATTATGATGATCGGATTACAAAGGTTATTGAATCTATTTAAAATATACTGCCAGAAAGACGAGGAAAGAGTTGGGGTAGGTTATTCTGCTTGGGATAGGGAGCAAGCAAGGTTGTAAGGACCAGAATTGAAGTTAAGTAAGGAATGGAACATGGTTGGAACCAACGTGGCAACCAATGCTTGCTCTGTGGGGGGGTGCAAGGGCAGGTAGGCCTGGTCACAGGTCTACTCACACAGCTCGTCAGTGTTCTGTGCAACCATCTCTTTTGTCAGCATTTCAGGGTCAGAGCATACAGGGACCAGAATGGTGTCACCAATAGGTAGAAAATTTAGGTAGTCAATGACCTGCCTGTCAGCCCTGAGGTGATATGCTCTCTACCTTGTAGTGACTTAATCTTTCTATCCCTTTCCACCTATAAGTGATACTCTTGTTCGTTATATTCTTTTTACAATATATTCCATTTATTTTATTTTTTTCATGTCTTTGCAGATTAAAAACTTGCTACCTCTTTTTAGCATATCTGAATTCTGCTGATTGTTTACCTATTGTCTATAGCAAATACAGTGGAAGAATTTTGCCCATCCTGTTTGCTTTTCTTGGCCTCTGTAGAAGAATCGAATATTCTCACATAACGGAGCAAACACACACTATCCCCGGCATTATAGAGAAGAGTCTAGAAATGTGGGGTTGGAACTGAGGGACTCAAGGTGAATAACTGGCACTGATACAGTGTCATATATTTTTCATACAGAAAACCACTTTCCCTGCTCTGTTTACTGAGTAGTCTCTGCTTTCCCTACCGATCTGAAATGCCATCCTGTCATATGCCAACATTTTGTAGAAATGTGGGCCTGCTCCTGGACTCTCTCCTCTGGTCACCCTGTGTACCCCGGTGCCTTTACCATTGTCTAATCTACTACAGCTTCAGGTAAGTCCTGATATGGGTAGGGCAAGTGAAGACCCTAATTTTCTTCAGAAAAGTGGCCTGGCTCTTCTCTGCTCTTTACTCTTCCATATGTATTAGAATCTGCTTATCAGGTTCTTCCCCAAAATAGCTTTTTAGATTTCAATCAGAACTTCTCTGTTGATTGATATGGAGAGAACCAAATCTTTCCTTTGGTGAATTTGGCATAGCTCTCCATTGGGTCTTCCTTAAAGTTTCTGATTTTTCCTGCAGTGGTTGTAATTCATCTTTCGTTAGATCTATTCCTAGATGATGGATGTCCTCTAATGCTATTGTAAATCGTAACTTCTTTTTAATTATTTTTGTGCTGGTGTATGAAACAATAATTCATTGTTTTATATTAATCTTCTGTTGAGCTCCCTTGTGAAACTCTCCTGTTATTCCTAAGTGTTTGTAGATTCCTTGGGTTTTCTATGTAAATGATCATATCAGCTGCATATAGTGATAATTTTGTTTCTTCTTTCCCACATCCTTCTCCCTCTGAATTATTATTTTTTTTGAGGTAATGTCCTGGCAAGAACATCTGCTGCAGGGATTAAAGATGTGGTGATCCTAAACATCCTTGCCTCATTCCAGGTTTTAAAGGCTAATATTCTAATGTTTTCCCACTTAGGATTATGTTTGCTTATTTTTTATATGTGCTCTGTATCATGCTAAACACATTCCCTTCTATCCTTCATTTACTAAAATATTTCTTTCTTTAATAATGAGCTTACTATGATTTTTAAAAATGTCTTATCTAGATCTATCAAAATGATATATATTTTTTTCCTTTAATATGGTAGCACAGTGAATTACATATATAGATTTTCTAACATTAAACCAACTTTGCATTAAGTCCAACTCTGTCATGGTTTATTATCATTTTTATACACTGCAGAATTTAATTTGTGAGCCCAATTTTCTATTTATGATTTTTGCTTCTGTATTCATAAATGAAATGAGCCTGTATTTTTTCTTCATCACAATGTCATTGTTTGATTTGGTATTGGGTTATAAAGTCCTTATAAAATGAGTTGGAGAGTATTTCTTTTCTTTTTCTTTTTCTATCCTCAGGAAGAGTTTTTATAAGACTGGGATGATTACTTCCTTAAAGATTTGTTAGAACTTGCCTATGAAATCATTTGGGCCCAGT